CACACTCACTCACTCACTCACTCACACACTCTCACGCACGCACACTCTCACTCACACACACACTCACACTCATATGCACACACTCACACACTCACACACACACACACACTCACTCACGTGCACACTCACGCACACACTCACGCGCACTCACACTCACACACACTCACTCACTCACTCACACACACACACTCACACGCACACTCACTCACTCACGCGCACACTCACGCACACACTCACGCACACACTCACGCACACACTCACGCACACACTCACACTCACTCACTCACGCACTCACTCACACTCATACCCACACGCACACTCACACACTCACTCACTCACTCACGCGCACACACTCACACTCGCACGCACACACACTCACACTCACGCGCACACTCACTCACGCACGCACACTCACTCACTCACTCACACTCATACACACGCGCACACACACACACACACTCACTCACACTCACTCACTCACTCACACTCATACACACACGCACGCACACTCACACACACACTCACTCACTCACTCACTCACACTCATACACACGCACGCACACACTCACTCACGCGCACACTCACGCGCACTCACACGCTCACTCACTCACACACACTCACTCACGCGCACTCACTCACTCACACACACACTCACACTCACACTCACTCACGCGCACACTCACACACACACTCACTCACTCTCACTCACGCGCACACTCACGCACGCGCACACTCACGCGCACACTCACTCACGCGCACACGCACGCACACACTCACACGCACTCACTCACGCACACACTCACGCACACTCACACACACACTCACACACACACACTCACTCACGCGCACACACTCACACTCGCACGCACACACACTCACTCACTCACTCACTCACTCACGCACACACACACACATTCACGCACTCACTCATTCACACACAAACACACACACTCTCACACGCACGCACTCTCACACTCACTCACTCACCCACGCACACACTCACACACACACTCATACGCACGCACGCACACACTCACACCCACACACTCACTCTCGTGCACACTCACGCGCACACACACACTCACACACTCACTCACTCACTCACTCACTCACTCACTCACTCACGCACTCACTCACACGCTCTCACACGCACACACACTCACT